GCGCACAGCTGAGCTCTGATTGGTGTGATTGCAGCAGCTCGGGGAGCAGAGAGAGGGGAGTGAAGTGGAGACGTGTGGGTAAAAGAAGCTCGAGCTTGAGCTCAGGAAAAGGCCCTGGAAAAGGCTCGAGAGAGGGTAGAGAGACAGAGCAGGCGGGCGGCATCATCATCCACTCCGGGATCAAAGCCTCGCACACTCTGACGCCTTCAGTGGGTCAGAGTGCACATGCCTCACTTTTCACACATTACATGCTGCTTCAGAAGCCATATTCCCGCGCCCCCAAGGATGCACGCCAAACTGAAAGAGAATGACAGAAGGGAGGGGAAAAAGAGACGTGATGCACAAGGCGAAAACAGGATAAGATGAAAGGATGAGGAGAGATATAAATAAACAGGCAAAAGGAGCAGACAGATTTTTCAGAGGTCATAGAGAAGGAGAGAGAAGGGAGTAAGGAACAGAAAAAAGGTGGGTAATACAGAGGGAGAGATGGAGAAAGAGGGGGAAAGGTGAGAGGCACCTTTCCCCCTCAAAGAGGACAAAAGACGAAGCCAATAATGGAGAGGCCTTTTCAGAAACAGGGGTTGTAGGACGCTCCATCTTTTCACTGGCTTCAATGCAGCCTGGAGAGAGGGAGGGAAGCAGGGAGAAGAGCTCACAGAAAAAAGGGGAGAGGAGGAGAAGAGAGGAGGGATGAGTGTTAATTAGAAGGTCCTTCAGCCCGTGGCCCCGGTCAAGACGCAGGGGCCGCCCCAGCTGTCGGAGCATGACACACTGGCATTGTGCATTCAGCCCTCATTATGTGTGTGTGTCTGGAGTTGTGGCGTGTATGTGTGAGGCGGCAGGGGAAGGAAAGGCTGCAGTCCAGGGTACAGCAATGGCCAGCGGCGCTTGCTGCGGCGTGACAAGACTGATGAGGCGCTGGGGCGACATGAGGGCCTCTGGAGCACCACTGATAAAAATACACTGCATACATTGGCAGTGTGGCACCATTCGCGCACGCACACACACACAGACACACAGAGCAGCAGCTGAAATTTTCTGAGAAGAGAGAGGGGGAAAAAATCAAAATGTGAAGTGAAAACTGTTCCATTGACGTAGGAAGTCGCGTGTGGCGAACATTCGTGTTATTTCAACTTATTTAGTAAAATTGAGATTGATGTTTTTGTTTAATTTGTGTCCACAGAGAAATGTCCCATCCTCCACCCCTACTGTCCCCTCCAACTGCTCCTCACATCGCCTTAGGACCTCACTTGCGGCCTCCTTTCCTTGGCATGCCCTCTGCTCTTTGCCAAGCCCCCGGTGAGTCATAAGTAATTCTAAGGCCAGATGGATACTTTCGCACAACACACAAAGAAAATAAATTTTTTCACCCTAGTATTTCTTTTTGCCACTTTGTAACATGTTAACTCAAAAATTCCTCCAAAACTTGGGACATTGTTACATTTGTGCTGTTTTTGTTACAGGTTACGGTTTCCTTCAGCCAGCTCAAGCAGAGCTCTTTGCCCGCCAACAGGAGCTCTTGAGAAAGCAGAACCTGGCCAGGTGTGTTTAATAAAGTGATTATGAAAGCCTACATCAAAAGTATTAGGATATGGGTTTAGGAAGCGTTTGGACTGTGTGGTAAACCTCTCTGTGTTTCGCTGCCGCAGACTTGAGATGTCAGCCGAGCTGCTGAGACAGAAAGAGTTGGAAAATCTCCACCAGCGACAGCAACAGCAACGTCTGCTGGGCTCTGACCCTCTGGGGGCTCTACCGCCTGGAATTCCTCTCGACCATCCAGCATTGCGGAGCCTCCACGACATCCCAGAGGGCCATCCTCTCCGCGAGGAACTGGCCCGCCGCACGAACGCAATGCTGGTGCTTCGACACGGGGCTACCACGCCCCTCCTAACACTCAACCACCAACAACAGCAACAACCGGGGGCGTCGTCCACACCCAAAGACACCCAGCCGCAAAGCTCCACTGCTGGCACAGACGCCGAATCCAGAAAGATGGCCCGCAGGGTCCCCCAGACGCAAATCCATAGTGGGGATCACAGAGAAGGAAGAGAGGACAGAGGAAGGGAGGAAGACATGGAAGTGCACGAAGAGGATATGAAGGACTCAGACAGCGAGACAGAGATGTGCGACGAGAGGCTGGAGAGAGTCGGTGCCAAGTCCAGCAGTAAACCCAAGGACAGGGGTAAAGACACTGGCAGCAAGGGAGTGTGTGACAGTGCCAAGGAGACTGTAGAGCGCTCAGGCAGGCTGAGCGCCCCGTGTAGTTCTGCAGGTACAGAGTCCCCCAGTCGCCACCTTTTTACCACTGGACTGGGCAAAACCGATCTCAAGTACCACCTGCCACCAGGGTTCCTGCCACCGCTACCTGCTCTTCATGCCCAGTCATTTCCCTTCGGATTCCCCTACGCCAACCCTTATTTTCACACGGGTGAGAGACTCAGACGCGCACACACGACACACAGCTCAGAGCTGACACGTGAAATCCATTAGAATCACTCTCTGTGCGTGTCTCTAGTGTGGAGGCCTCTCCCTGTTAGGGCCTCTTCCTCTGACCCCAGGGTGACCCACATGCACGCCACCAACAGCACAGCCACGTGGGCAGAAGGGAGGGATTGAGGGGGTTGTTGGTTTGCAGGCTAAAGTGGGATGACATCGCAGCAAGCGGCACGTTTACTTTATGAAAGCATAAGAAAAGAGTCGCAATGAGCACCTAAAGGAAACTGTAACAGTCATTTATTAAATGAGTTTAAGATATCTATTAGTTTACTTGATTTATTTATGTTAACAGAGCCAAAGACACTTAAAACCAACCAAAAAAATACATATTTTAAAACAAATAGCACCTTTGTACCTGGTGTGTGTATATATTGACACATCATTTTCACCCACTGCTGCTTTTTCAGGCTCTTTGGGAGGTCTTTTCATGGATGGGGAGGACTCAGCCACAGCAAACCCTGCGGAGGACATCAGCAAGTGGAGTGTGGAGGATGTGTGCGGCTTCATAAGCAGCCTGGCAGGATGTGCTGAATACACACAGGTGAGAACGTAGAGAGCAGGAAAGAGAGAGAGAGAGAAGGGGACGGAGGCCAGGGGCAGGCTGATTATTAACCATAGAGGAAAAACAGTGTACTGAGATATAATTCAAACCCCAAAACCACTGCAGTGCTGTCAAAGGCGTCTCATTATATTTAGGTAGAAGCAGTAAACCTGCAGCTTTTTCAAGGTTTTTTTTTTTTTTGTGAATGTGTGTGGATGCATGAGAGAGCATGGTCACGTTTAATAGTTTGAGCCACGTTTGTGTGAATGTCGGTGAGCTTAAAGTGCATGTAGGTGTAGCTTGTGTGAATGAAACGTGCTTTTGTGTGTTAATCCAGGCTGTGCGACGTTCCAAAATGAACTATCCAGAGAAGGTTCTCATGGAAACGAGTAAAATATTAGGACTAGGTATTCAATTCAACTTATTTTATATAGCGCCAAATTATAACAACAGTCACCTCAAGGCGCTTAATATTATAAGGTAAAGACTCTACAATAACCCAGAGAAACCCCAACAATCAAATGACAACCTATGAGTAAGCACTTTGGCAACAATGGGAAGGAAAAACCTCCTTTTAACAGGAAGATTCCTCCAGCAGATCCAGGCTCAGGGAAGAGCAGCATGTGCTGTGACCAGTTGGGGGTGATGGAAAGGAGACGAGACAAAAGACATGTTGTGGGAGAGGGCCAGAGGAACATTTCTGGAGTCAGAGACGTGTATGGGGAGGGATTTGCTGCTGTCCTGACTCCAAGGGAACTGATAAGGAACAAAGTAGACACCATAATTAGGCTTCAGCTGTCTTAGCTGGAGTCTTTGGAGTCATTTTTGCACAATAAATGATAACCGTTTATACACATGGCATAGAAAACATCCCAATCCCAACATTACGATGTTTAAAATGATAAAAGACTACAGTCTCTACAATTTGAATCATCCATATTGCAAAAATGTTTCCTGATAATCTTCAATTGCGTTCTCAAAATGAGTATGAAACATTTTGGAATAGAGCCCACTGTTCTGTAGTGTTCGTGTGAGCGAATGTGTAGGGTTGTGTGTGTTTCTGTGTGTGTGTGTCGGGGCTGTGGCTGAAGAGGCTGTGTCTCCGCCAGGTGTTTCGGGAGCAGGCCATTGATGGAGAGACATTGCCACTGCTCACTGAGGAGCACCTGCTCAACACCATGGGATTAAAGCTGGGGCCCGCACTCAAGATCCGCTCACAGGTACACCTCACAGACCTGCGCGTGTGAGAGTGTGTGTGTGTGTTTGTGTATGATCAAGTGGACCCGTGTTTGTCTGAGTGTGCGTTCCCGTCTGTAGGACCGAGACAAACTGCTAGAATAGTATAGCTGATTCCCTTAAACTAGCCTGCCCCACATTCTCAGCCTCTCTTCTTCTCTCTCTAAATTCAGTACACATTAGTCCATAACCCGATGCTCAACAGGCTGTACTGACAGTCATGTGATCTCCTCTCGTCTCCTCAGGTGGCTCGCCGCGTTGGCAGGCTTTTCTACATGACAGGATTCCCACTGGCATTCCCGTTTCCACCTTCTGCTGCCCTGCGACCCCCAGAGCGCGATCGGGACCCCCTGACTGCGCCATCTGACACACCCTTGCCCCTCTCTCTCTCTGTGCCACACCGACCCACTTCCACCAGCAGCAGTTCCTCCCCTTACAGCGGCCCCACCCCAGGTTGCTCCTCCCCCAAGCAGGAAAACGGCAACGTGGTAGGACGATACGAGGCCAAAACCCCCTCATAGGAGTGTAAGGGAAGGGGTGAGAATGGAAGACTAGTCTCATGAATGGGGATGGGGGAGTGTAACTTGAAGCAGACTGACCTCTCAATACCTTCACCTTTTGAAACTTACGGGAAAATAACAGACTTGAATAAAAAAAAACAACAACAACTGGACAGTATGGACCGTATCCGACAAACCAATCAGCTGAGTTCCTCTGCAGGGGCTGTAGCCGAGCAGAATCCAAAGAAACTGGGTTGGAAGGGAGAGACGTGAAGCGACAGAGAAAAAGGAGACAGCTGGTCACAGCAAGCCTGCCAAAAAAATGGAGCAAAGCCCTGCCACAAATGCGACATTCTTGCAAGTCAGACAGTCAGACGCTAGCGGAAACTCTTCCTTCCTTCCTGGGCTGGAGGAAGCTCTGCTCACTCGCTCACTCTCTTTCTCTGGTCTCTGCATCTCTGACTGCTCTCACCCAGAACCCTGCAAAGCCCAGGAATTTAAAAAAGAGACATTTATCCCTCCCTCCCCTCTTCCTCGCCCCTTTCCCTGAGGCCAAACAGCAGCGTGGTGCTGTATGTTGGTTTGTTTTTCTTTTTTTTGGTTATTTTTTTCTTCTTCTAGAGGCTGGAGTTGAAACATATGCTGAGCAGCACCAGATCTGACCAGCTTCCTCTCTTATCACTGCAACTATGCATTCCGCTGTCCCGATACCAAAGATGACCGGATATGTGGAATTGAAACCATGTTTCACAACGTGTCTGCGCTTCTTTTTGCATTAACGGTCAAACAGGGGAATGCTAGGCTTAGTGCCTCACTCAGTGGGACTCTTATTTGAGATGACACAGGTAGAGCCGCCGTTTACTGACAAACAAAGGATTAAAAAATGCTAAGAAATGGAGAAGCCTCAATAGCAGCTGTGGTTTGTACCCCTTATGTCATTGTACGCTTGTGTTGACTACTGTGGGAGGTAGGAAAAACATGCAAAATTGTACAGAATCATGCTTAAGATGAAAATATCCTGAAGATTACATACGTGGTACTTTTACTTTTTGTTAAATGTAGTTGCACGATTAAGGTTTTCTTTACTGAGAAAAAAAAAAGTGACTTGCTGAACTTTGGTGGTACTTTTTGTTCATGAGTTTTTGTTTTGCCCTTTTTTTAAAAAAAAGTGTAATATTAAAAAAAAAAACGACAAAAAACAAAAACGTATGCTCCAATCTCGAATGCTACTTCAGCATATAAATATGAGGACAAAAATATTTATAGGACTTTTAATGTAGTAGATAAAACAGATGATGATATGTATTAAAATTAGCCCTCAAGATGGAATTCCAAAGATACTTTTACTTTCTCTCTTGGTTGCAGGGAAAAGAAAGGCACAAGCTCTTAATGCAAATGTTTTGAATTTGTTATGGGTTTTTTTTGTTTTTTTTTTACTACGCAAACAAATTAAAAATGGTCTCTAGATTTCCCTTCAAAAGTTTGTCTTCATCCTATTTTTCTATTCACCACACGGGTGAAATAAATGCTAAAGAAAGCCTCTCTTCTTTCTCTCGTGTTTGCTTCAAATATCAGAAATGCTCTTTCCTCCTCAGGTGTTTGTGGTACTTTCGTTAAAAAAGAACATGGAGGAGGCGGTGTGTGTGTGTGTGTGTTTTATAAAGGGGAGGTGACCCATGGGGGGCACAGTTCGGGTCAACACCAGCTGTCGGAGTGTGAGGTTCAGCCGCAGGCCAAGGCCTCCCTGCCTGTGGGGGTAAACCTGACCCTCCTCATATACCCACACACGCACACAGCAACAGAACCAGGAGCAGCCCTCGCTCACACTCGCCTTCCTCCTTCAAAGCGGTGCGCTCTTCACACTCTGCTGGGACTTCCCCCTCGCTTTAGGCGGGCCTCTGCATCAGGAGGTTCAGAATTCACTGAAAACCACCGCGGAGGAAACGTGACGACACACGAGAGTTGCTCAAATCAGATCTGCAGTTGAAGGATTCACGCCACACGTAGTTCACTTGTCTCCTTCCTACACCGGTGAATGCCGTAAATGTGCCTCGTGATAAAGGTCAGAATCGCCATCGGTTTGGCTGTGAATTCTGGCAAGCTGGGGGGGGGAAGTTGGGAGTAGGACAGCCGTGTTTGAGCATGTGCGATAGACAGACAGAAAAGACAGCGGTCCGGGCAGGGGGTGGGTGAGGAGTTGGCACGGAAACAGACCAGCCTGTGTAGCTGCTCTACCACCTGGGCAGGGAGTCTTGGCGCAGCATCAGACACCACCCTGCCAGCCTGGCACCGCACTGCTGCCTCGGGGCTGAACACCCGCCTCTCTGTACCCGCTCCTCTTGGCCGGCCCTGCCTGGCTGGGCCCGGCTCAGCCAGCCTCATAGCTCCTTCCAAATAGCCCGTTCTTACAAAGCCTGGGGGTGCCTACAGGTGTGCACAAGTACACAAATTACTCATTTCAGGTGCACTTGTGCATTAACATGCACATACGCTTCAATTAGCATCTTAAAAAAATTCAAGGAGAGGATTTTTTTTTGTATCAGGCTCAGTGTTTAATAAAATTAAACTTGTACTGTACATAGAAAATTAAAACAATAGCAAAGAGAGGAAATACTGGAAATATTGATCGCTCCTCTAGACCCTCAGTCGTCATCAGACAGTTCCAGGTCTTCAATTACATCCTCCTCTCCCTCAGCCAGCTTTATCAGAGCAGAGGAGGACAGCGGCTGAGGAGTCTTGGAAGCCTTTTTATCTCCTTCCTCTTCCTCCTCTTCATCATCATCATCTGGAATATAGACAAGAAGTACTTAAACTTCACGCTCAGCCACATCAGAAACCTCGCAGGTATCGAGTGGTTTACGTGCACACGCGTTAGAGTAGAACGGCATTTTTAACAAACCTCTTCTAATCTGACACATTTCACATTTTTACAATGCTGTTTACTCTCCAGGCTCGGCTAATGAGTGGCCACAGGAGTTGCTACCAGCTGTGAGACCACCATGTTAAAATGATGTAAACCATCTCAAAAGTTACACACGGATGATAAAAGCATAAATTTAGAGTAGCGCTCCTTAAATTCCATTTCTGTTCATTTATACATAATAAATTCATTTAAGAGACTGAATTCATTTCTGGGGACAATTTAACTATTTCAGTGCAAATGCTTAGTCTAAATTGTAAAATCGCTCTTCCCTCCGAACCAGCAGCCGAACCCAGAGATGTTTAAACTTAAAAGTTCAGACTGACGAGACGCAAATCTGGCATCATGTGGCAGTTTATGCCTGAAAACCTGCTACAAAAACAATTAAATATTTATTAAAATTCAATTTTTTGTACTTGACTATATTTGCATTATCTAGAGCAGGGATATCAAACTTAAGGCCCGGAGGCCAGACGCAACCCGACAAAGACTCCAATCCGGCCGCTGGACTGTTTTGGAAAATATGAAGAACATAAATTTCACAGCTTCTCTCACTGATAAAGAGCTTTTCCACGGCCACACTACACTAAAGTAATGAATTCATAGATGATATCTATTAATAAACTATGTCCACAGTGAAAAAACGAAACATTTGCTTTTAATGAACAAAAACTTTCCGGTCTGTCTTTCATTTGCTGCAGCAGCATTTCTATATCGTGCAGAAAAACATATTGTTATAATTCTACTTCTTCTTTTGTTAATATTAGAGATGGCACAATACCACTTTTTTATTACCGATATCATAAATTTGGATATCAGCCGATACCGATACGAATCCGGTATAGTGTGTTTTTTAATCAATAAAATTTTTTAATATCTTGCTGCATTTTGTATAAGTTCATACTCAAGTTTAAATAAACAACAACACTAAAGCTATTCTGTTATACCTGTATGTAAAAAATACACTGCACCCAAAATATTTCATAGTTCAGCAATACTGATCAATCTAATAAACTTAAACCTGCTCCATCCTCCCTATTCTGGTATTTTAAAGAGTAAGCAACCTAACTAATAGGGTTGCAAACTCCCAGCAAAAAATAAATAAAATAGGGAACCACCCCCCACCTCATGATGCTTAATCGACGTAATCAACTTTAATTTGATGCAGGGTGAAAAAAAAAATGCACAGAAATAAATTATTTTTCAAGAATATTTAAATAGATTCAACATCTTTCTTCAACAAATTTGCAGACTGCACAGATGGTACCTTCCCAAAGGAAAAAGTACTATAGCTTACTAGGGTATATTAGACTTAACAGTTACTATATACAGTAATGGACTTCTATACATTTTACATCAGATTAAAACTTTGGGTGTAAGATTCAGATAATTATTTATTAAACGCGAGACATTTTAAATGAGAATAAGAAAGAGAAGTATGTCTTTGTGCTCCCTTTTCCCTGTTCATGCCCTATCGGCCCCCCTGGCTAAACTTTGCTAGATCCGCCCCTGCACATCCTGGTGTAGAAAGTAATATTAAATAAATTCTAACAACAGATTATCAAGCTTAAACGTGCTGCTGTTGTTCAGCCGCTGGTTTCCTCTTTCTGGCGCGAAGTGGGCCAAAAACAAACAAGAGAGACGGACTCGCGACAGAAAAGACGATCAGCTGATCATTGATCAGTTTCACGATTGAAGTAGCAGCAGGAGAGGGAGGGGGAGAGAGGCAGTCGCTCCATATATCGGTTGTTTTGTGAGGTGCTTGTTTGATATTTAATGGATCGGATTACATTTTTTATTTCTCGCCGATATCCGATCCAGTAATTTAGGTCAGTATCGGACCGATACATAATATCGGATCGGTCCATCTCTAGTTAATATACAACCAGGATTAAATGTGCAGATAAACTTCAGGAAGCACTGTTTCACTGGGCTGGCCCACTTAAGATTAAAGTGGACTGTATGTGGCCCACAGTGCAAAACGAGTTTGACATCCCCGCTCTAGAGGCAAACAGTAATTTTAAGTTTTACCCTTGTTACCAGCCGGCCTCCATATTTCTGGCCCTGCACTGATAGAAAAGGGTAACGCAGACGCCTCTACACAGCAAATTAACCAAAACAGACAAATTAGGACCTTAAAATGTGTCAAAACTGTTCATTGTGAATACCGACCTAAGTCTTCATCATCGCTCAGGTCAGACAGGTCTTCAAAATCATCGTCATCCTCGTCATCTGACGCACGGCTGCTCTTCTTACCTGAGGGGAGACGGTGGAAAAACATTACAGCGCGCTGAAATTTGTCTAGTCTTACTTTCTTCAGACGTTCCTAAGTTTGCACCGGTGCATCGCTGACGTCTGACGGCTTTGGAGACGTGGATATGTGGGCCAGGTATCAGAGGCAGCTGGAAGTGTCTATTTCCTCCTGAGATGGAACTGAGAG